CTTACATACAGTGGGGTACTAGATGGCGATGATGAAAGAATCATTCTCAAAATCGACATCATTATATTCATCCTGTCTCTAATCTTCATAGAGGGCAACCGTATCAGTGAGGAGGACCTAACCCAAAAAGTGAAAAGATGGGACATGTTAGCTCAGTCTGAGTGTATTCATTTTGAGGAAGCCTGGAAATTCATCACTGAGGATTTAGTACGGGAAGAGTACCTGATGTACCAGCAGATTCCTAACAGTGATCCTGCTTGGAATGAGTTCCTATGGGGTCCAAGGACCCACGCTGAAACCAGCAAGATGAAACTCCTAGTTCATATGGCCCATCTTAATGGAACAGATCCCAAGTTTTACCCAGAACTATATGAAGAGGCTTTGGAAGCAGAACTAGGTATAAAGCCAGGGTTCCTGAGAAACAGGGGATATTGCACAAGGGTGTCAGTGAATTTGTTCTCCCCCAAGAAGGAGTGAGGCCTATTTTCAGTCTCTGCGGAGAGCAGGCAGTTTTCTAAGCAGTGAAGGGTCAGGGGAGGGGTAAAATAGATCACATAGCATCTTGCTGTCTCTTCTACTTGGGTTACTTGGAAATGGGCAGGGGTTTTCTTTATGGTTTTTTTTTGAAGTAATGGTCCTTTTTTGGGGAGACTGAAGTAGCTTACATATTTATTGAATGGTATTGATCTCCTGTGTATTTTTAGTTTTGTGATGTTGATGGTTGTGTTTTCTGATGGGAATGTGATTTTGTGTGACATTGATCACAAATGGAGTGCCTTTTCCATTCAAATGTAACAGTCTTTCCTGTTTTATCATACAAACAGAAAAACTATTCAATTTATTTATGATAAAATGGGAGTGGACTAGGAATTTCCTTGAAAATTTTAAGTTTACATCAAGTTAGAGGGACCCTAGAAAAAGTGATAAGGATGAAAATCAAATATTGGCTGCTGCTTATTTCTTTTCCCCTGCTGTTCTATACTATTAAACTTATATTTATTGCATACCTGAAAAAAAAACAATAGTTTCTGAAGGTCCTGATGCTTTGCATGTCCTCCAGGACCTGCCACATCATGCTGAGGGTGCTCACCTTGTTGTCTTGTGCATTTGTCTAAATTGCAGTATTTTTTACCCATCTATCTATCTTCCGCTTTACCCAGCAGAATTCATTGTGTATTTTGGGACATTTGGCAACAAATGTCTGTTGCACTGAGTTGAATTCATTAGTGGTAGACATTAGTTGCAAAGACCAGTTCCCTGGACAATTAGAGCCAGAAGTTATATCTACACAGGACCAAATGAAGAAGGGCCTTGGCAAATTCTGAAGTCACTGAATGTATGTAGACACCCAAACGGGAAAATCCAGGCCACCTTATTGGCATGGAGTTTGCGGAATTCTTTTTGACATTTGTACAATTTTTCTTCTCCCACATTTCTCTATAAAAATAACCTTCTAGTTCACATGCCTTTTACCATGTGTCTTTTCCCACTGTTAGTCCACTCTTGGCAAAATTCCTGACCAGAAATTCCTGGCCAGAAACTGCCAAGGAGGGCTGGAACCACTCAATTTGGCTGCCTGGACATGAGTCCAGTGAACTGTATAAAGGCTAAGTGATAGCAAAGTCATCCCATGGCCTCATCCCATGGCCTCTGTGGCTAACAGCGTCACTCACGACTATCTTGTGCCATTTTGACTCAACCTCAAAATCTTAAGAACATACCCCCACATACCCTAGATTTTCTCAAGAGTTCATTAATCCATTTATTTAGAGCTTTGCATTTATTCATTTAACAAGTATTTGTTAAGTTCCTGTTCAGTGCCAGGTATCATTCTGGTATGTAGAATATTAAATAGAGTAAGTTCTTGCATTCAAGAAGCTTTCATTCTGGTTGGTTAGGAAGAAAATAAATGCATGTCAGGTGACAATAAATTCTATGAAGGAAAAGAAAGCAGGGTGTCTCATTACATTGCTATATCACAACTCACTCCAAAACTTAGTGGCTCAAAAGAACACCTTATTATTTCTCATTAATCCATGGCTTGGCTGGGCTTGTTGGATGGGTCTTCTGCTGGAGTCCTCCCTCCCCAACTCACTCAGGAGGCTGCAGTCATCTGGAGGCTCAGCTAGGGTAGGGCCTCACTCACATGTCTGGGGCCTCGCTGCTGGCTGTTGGCTGTTGGTTGTTCCTCTCTCTCCGCATGGCTCTCCCATTCAAGAGTCCAGCCTGGATTTCCTTGCATGGTACTGCAAGGATTCTAAGATGGTAAAGGCGGAGGGTTGTGACTTAGGATTAGGTCAGACCATACCACTTCCACCTCATTTTATTGATCAATGCTATTTGCATGGCCAGACTAGTCTTCAGGTAGATGCCACCTTTTGATAGGAGAAGCTACAAAGGATTTGTGGCCACTTTTTTAGATTCTTTTTTTAAAAAAATAGGATGCACTTTATTTAGTGTGTTGGGGGTGCTAGGGTCAAACCCAGATCCTCAGGCATACTAAGTATATACTCCTCCACTAAGCTATGTCCCCAGCCCTATGATCACTTTTAATCCAGCATGTGGGGCAAATGAAGAATGAGTGACAGGGTGTGCTTTGGAATAGAGTGGTCAGAGAAGGCCTCTCCGATGAGGCGTAATTTGGGCAAACACCCGAGTAAACCGAGGAAGTAAGTCATACGAGGATCTGGGGGAAGAGCACTTGGGGCGGACAGAACAGCAAGCAAAGGCTCTGAGGCCAGACTAATGCAATTCTTTGCCTTTAGATAATGATTCAATATTAAGGCTTTTGCATGAAGTTATATCCATCTAACTTATAGAAAATGCAATTCTCCTCAGGCAACAGTGGAGAATTCCTAAGGGAACTGAGCCAAGTTAAAAGGGGGACACCTGATTTTGAACGACTGAGATGGGAAGATGAATTATATATATAATTTAAGACCAAAAAGTGTCCATTTCTCTCATCTCTTCTGCTTCCATTCTCACCTCCGGCCACCTGATGCTCCAGGCATCTTCTGAAGCCTTTGGTGGAACTCCAGGAACACCAGAGTGTAAAGCCATCCTGCTTCCAATTCTGATACCTTGGGCTTCAGCCAGAGTGCTATGCACCCGTCCTGGCCTCAGCTTGACCACAGGCAGACTCTCACCCAGCCTGTGGGACCGTCTCTGGCCAAATCAAGGTGTGACACATGGGAGGCCAAGGTGTGCAGCTCGGTAAGGGACAAGCAGAGCAGAGCCCAGCAGAAGGGATTTTATGCTGCAATTACCAGGATCACCAGGGCAGTCTGAGGGTAATCGGGTAATTAGCGTGTGTGTGGAAGGGGACAATTATCCTGCACACTGGCTGCCAGATGCCTGTCACCACTGCTCTGGCCCTTGGGTTGGGTTCCTGGCTCTACCTGTGGACTATTAAGTGTAATGACCCTGTCATGCAGAAGAGCCTGTCATTATCTCTGTGTTAACATAATATTTATCCACAAAACCCTGCCAAATCTCTCTGTAGTTAAAGGATCTCCACGTGCTCCCCCCTGCCCTGGCACTGGACAACCTTTAAAGTTGTCAGGGTAGGGGTGGCTTTAAAAGATTGAGAAAATGGGATAGGGTCCTAGGATCCTCCTGGGAGGCTCAAGAGGGACACTGGAACTGACGCAGCCCTGTTGACAAAGCCTGTGACTGTCAATCTCAGCAACAGGATCTTAGAGGCATCAAGACCACCCCAGTAAGGCACATTTCCCCATGGGGCTAATTCACTGGTTACTGAATAAAACCAAAGCCAACTTCATATTTTGGAAGTTGCTGTTTCTCTGAAGTCTGTCTCACCACTGGCAAAGAGGAAACCTCCCCACTGGCATAGAGTGAAACTTGTAAAAGCTCTTGGTAGCTCTGACTGTCTCCTTTCCAGTCACTCTTCATTGTCTCCCACAAAACTCAAACAACCCGTCTTTCTGCAGGCTGCCTCTGCCTTTGCTGCTCTCATTTGTCATGAATAGTTCTAAATATTTTGTTTCTGATGAATATCAACTTTACCATTGGCCTTCTCCCATCTCTCCTCCTTTCCTTCGCCCTGACATGGCCACCAAGGGCTCCAGCGCCAAGGGCACCTAAACCATGCTGTTATGAGCATTTTTCTACAATTTTTTTTTTTTTTTGCAGTACTGGGGATTGAACTCAGGACCTTGTATCTGTGAGGCAGGGGCACCGCCACTGAGCTAAATCCCTGGCCCTCTATACGCATGAGTACAGACTCTTCTGTAGGTTACAGTCCTAGACTTAGAGGGCATGATTGAGTATGAATGTTTTAATTTGAAAGATGGTCAGATTACTTCTACAACGTTGTACACATTCAAATTTCCACTAATAGTTTGTGAGAAGGCTGTTTCCCCACGACCTTGCCAAATGGGGTTACTACCCCCTTTTAAAAATTACCTTTGTTGTTTTCTGATCACATGTTATGTATATTCTTTGTTAAAAAAAAAAAAGGAAAATGAGAAAAGCATAAAAGAAAACAGATTGGCAGTCATGCTACTATCCAAAGATAAAAAATATTGTTCATATTTTTAGAAGATAGCAGCTGAAGCCATGGCCAAGGTAGTCAGCTGTGGAACTTTCTGGGATCCTTAATGCTGGTAACAAGATGTTAGATGTTAAAGATCACCTCATTCTTCCTCTCCCTCCACCCCTCATGTCTCCAAAGGTCTGAGATATTTTCCTCAGTTTGTGGAGACTCTTCTGAGGGGTGCAGCTCCAGGTATCCACAGCCCTGAAGTACATCCCCCATTCCAAACAGTTCTGGTGCCAGAAAGACTCGGAGCCTAAGGATTTGTGGAGTAGCAATGGAGTACAAGCATTCCAAAAATGTGTTTCCAGACACTGGCAGCTGGATCCAACAGATTGGAAACCCATCTCTCCGGCCAACCCCAGAGCCAAGTTTCCATTTCTCAGGGACCCTGACATGCCCCGTTAAGCCTCTGCGCTAATGACGGCTCTGCTTTCCATTCCAGGGACCTGAATTATAACGAGCTGCAGGAGTTTCCCGTGGCCATCCGGACCCTGGGCAGACTGCAGGAACTGTAAGCTCCTCTGCTGGTTTCTGTGGGTACCTTTTCCCTGCAAGGGCAGGGGGTAAAGCCAGCCTGGGCATCCCTCACCTCCTCACCTCCCATGGTTCTTGTAAATGCTGTAGCTTCAGGCCCTTTTTGGCCCCCAGTACTGCTCTAAGTAGTCACAGGCCTCATTAGCCTGGCTTTGAGCATTTCCTGGGGGTGTGTCACCACCAGAAATGACCCTGGGCCTCTCAGCCTGGGAAGACACATGGCATGAGCCATCTCTGATATCCTGGCCCGGCACTGCCCCTGTCTTGCGGAAGCTCATAGGGATGTAAGAAATTTAGTATAAATTGGTCTGGAGTCAGATTAAGGGGGCCTGAGGATTTATGAAACAAGTCCCAAACGTTCAGACAGCCCAGCATCTTCATAACTCAAACCAGCACCTAAGACTTAAGAGTGCCAGCCCTGGTCTTTCTCACCTCTTCCAGAAGTTTGAAGGTGGGAAAGCCAGGTGTAGGGAGCAGATTAGGAGTGGCTGGGCCAGCCAGAGGAAAGGATCTGAATGAGAAACTATTGAAATCCTCCAATGCCAGTGAGTTACTGAGGTCTGACTGCTTTTTCTTTGAGCTGAGATGTGAAATAAGAACAATATTTGACAATATTTGATCAATCAAGAGGATATGGAAGGAATAGGGTATGCCAAGGATAGGAAATAATAAAGCATTCGGGAAGAGAGAGCAGAGACCTAGTTAGCAGGAGCAGAAGGATACATGTATAGAGTGTGTGTATCTATCCATCCACCCACCCATCCACCATTCATCTACCCAAAACTATGTATGTATCTATCACCTATCCATCCATCCACCCATATGTATGCATATATATGTATATATACATGCATCTATCTATCCATCTATCTATCTATGTATCTATGTATCTGTCGTCTATTTTGAGAAAGCTTCTTGAGGACAGGGCCTCTGTCGTATAAATTTCCCAACCTCTCAGTGCTTGGTATAGCACAAGACAGAAAGAAAGTATTTAGAAATATATAATGAATAATTAGAAGAAAGAAAGGAAGGAGGAAAGGAGGGAAGGAGGGAAAGAAGGAAAGGCATGAAGGAAGGAAGGTAGGCAGGCAACCCAGATGGAAGGAAAGAAAGAAAAGGAAAAGAAGGAAAGAAGGAAGAAACCGGGCTTGGTGATTGGCATTTGCTGTCGGTGTCTGACGGGGAGCTCATGAGTGAGAAAGCCAGCAGGTGGAAGCAAGGATGGGACAACAGGAGGAGAAGGGAGGGGAGCAGAGGCTGGGAGAACACAAAGGGAGCTAGAGACTTCCAGTGGAGAAGAGAATGACTGAAAGGGCCCCCTTTTCAATTCAACATGGAACATGTTCTTCCCAAGTAATCAGGTATGCAGTTCCTGACTTCCAGACCCCAGACATTCTGCTGGGTCCCTCATTCCCATCCCCCATAGCCATCCATGGTCATTCAGTTCCTAACTCTACCCCTTAACCCTCCTCCTGCTATTGATGTATCTGTGTCTCTTCATTTCCAGGCTTTGAGGCCAAGTCAGCCTCCGTTTGAGGAACATCCTCAGCCCGGGTCCCCTGGAAGTGCTCTTCTTTCTGTACCCTCCTTTTCCTACCACACACCCTTGGCTTCCTCAGCGGGGTCCCACCAGGGCTCCGGCCACACAGGACCGAGGAGAGGATCCCCCTTGACACCTCGCCCTTGAGCTCCTCTCTTAGGCTTCCTGAGGTCTGCAGCCTGGGGCTCCAGCCTTGCTCTCTTGGCCCTTGTTTGAGAAACCATGGGTGTGTAACTGGACAGAGAAGGAAGCTCACAGGCAGGACTGGAACTAGAATCTCCAGGCTGGTGTCTGTCAGTCCACAAGCTGTTTAGTCAGCTTTCAGGAAGCCCCGCGGGTGTCTGTGTCTTTCCCTCTCTCCAAATGCCCAACAGTCCTGGGTGCTGTCTTCCAGGGGCTTCCACAACAACAACATCAAGGCCATCCCTGAGAAGGCCTTCATGGGCAACCCTCTGCTGCAGACGATGTGAGTGCTGCGTGTTGCGGGGAGGCAGGAGGGTGGGAGGGTTGCCTCCCTCTGCCTCTTGCTGGGTTTCCCCTGGGAGGAGAAGGGAACAGTGGTCAGCCTTGCTTCCAGCTGAAAGCAGCAAGAAGCCGAGTTAGGTGTTCGGGTCTTTTCTTCTAGACACTTTTATGATAACCCAATCCAGTCTGTGGGAAGGTCGGCCTTCCAATACCTGCCTAAACTACACACACTGTAAGTGTCGCCTGTGGGCTGCCGCAGCCTGGACCTTCCCCTCTACACACCTTGCTTGCTCCTGCCTTCTGCATGCAGATCTCCCCGCTGCAATGCACAGCCCCACTGGGAAGCATGGGCTTTGGGGAGATGGCCCCCACTTTCCTCACATCTGTACCCAGCTCTGTCTGAATGGCCTCACTCCATCTCCGCAACCCACGGCTCCTCCCCAGATCCCGGATGGATAGAGTCCTTCTCCATGGCCCAGGCGTTTCATCTGACTTCTTTGGTTACCTGCTCAGGGAAGCTGTCCCTTGCGTCCCTGCTGAGTGAACAGTTAACCTGGGTCCGAGTGCTATGTGTTTTCAAGGCCGGCTCTCAGTGGCCCTGGAGCACAGCTCCCTGGGCTCTTACTGTGGCCTTTATCACACTCGGCCTAAAGCTGTGCTTTCATTTCCTCTCTCCCAATCTTTCAATTCCCAGCCGAGTCCCTCTTCTTCAAAAAGCATGCGTGGATTGCTCTCAGCACTGTGGTCTCGCAGTAACACAGCTGACACCTTCAAAGCACCTGCTTCATGTTCCTTAGTGGATTCCATCTTCATCCCAGCCATGGGAGGTGGCTCTTACTGGCCCATTTTATAGATGGGAACTGAGGTGCTCAGGTACTATCCAGGCATGAACCCAGGTCCCCAACTTCTGATCCTGGACTCATTACTGGACATTGCTGCCTTCTCCAGGTGTTAATTGTTTGTGGTCCTGTTGTTTGCAGGCTCCATGTCCTCACTATGATAGGGAACCGTGGGCAAGGAAAACCATCAGTCTAAAGCTGTGGTGCACACCTACAATCCCCGCACTTGGGAAGCTGAGGCAGGAGGATTGCTGGTAGTTTGAGGCCAGCCTGGGCTACATAGTGAGTTCATGGCCAGGCTAAACTAGTAGTGAGACCCTGTCTCAAAATATTAAAAAATTGGGCTGGGGATGTAGCTCAGTGGTGCCATGCCTGCCTAGCAAGCACAAGGTTTTGAGTTCGATCCCCAGTTCTGCAAATAAATAAATAAATAAATACAGTGACCTTAAGAAGGACAAGGAGTTCAAATAAAGCCACAGCAAGTAGCTATTTAGGAGAGACCGTATCTCAAGCTCTAAGAAGCAAACCAAGGACTTTTTTAGAAGCACAGTGCTGTTGACTTTTCAACACATTTGCTTGTCCCTTGCCTTTTTGTTTTTGCTATTGTTCTTATTGTTGCAATACTGAAGTTTCCCGGCTCAATGTGGGCTAGGGTGGGCTGAGCCAGCCTAAGAAAATGGCTATTGGGAGCCTTCTGTGCACCACTCAGCCTCCACCAGGGCCACCGGTGCTTTGGGGGAGGCTGGGGAGAGATGACATTTCCCTGAGAGGCAGAGTCCCTGAGGGTCAGGAATCCAGATGTTGAGACGCCCTGACCCATCCTCCAAGCGTGTCTCCCTTTCCAGGTCCCTGAACGGTGCCACAGACATCCAGGAGTTCCCAGACCTCAAAGGCACCACCAGCCTGGAGATCTTGTGAGTGGATTCTCTCTTCCTCCACCTGCTCTGCCTCCCCACCTCCACCCAGGCGCTCTCCCACCTCCTGTGTCGGGAAAGCTGCCCCTCTCCTCTGGCCTGGCTCCTGATGGGAGGCCCACATCTGGCTGTGGTCATCTCCTGATGCGGCGCTGCCTTCAGCCCAGGCAGGGGCTGGCAGGAGGGGACGGAGAGGCTGCCCTCTCTCTTTCCTGTGCTTGGGTTTTTCAGGTCTGAGCTCAGAGGTCCTAACCCAAGGCTGTGCATGCACTGAAGACACAGGCAGCGAGCGAGGGTTGCGAAAAGCCACCTTTGTCCTTCTGAGGCTTGCGTCTCACAAAGGCCTTCTCAGGTTCTCCACTGTCAGGCCCTGTAGAGGGAAGGGGTAGTGGTGCATAGTAGGCCCCCAATGCATTTCAAGTGAATGCATGAAGCAATCGAGCAAATACCAGAGTGTCAGGAAGTCAGCTCCCTGCCTCATGTCACACAGCTCATTCACGGAATCACTGGGACTGGAACTCTGCTCTGTGCCTCTATTGTCTTGCCCTGGAGTCGCTGGCATGTGGAAAATTTTCCATGAGAGAAATAACAGTTCCCCAAGGATGACCTTGGCCTTGGGTCTTTCCTAGGACACCCTGTGCCTAAGCCAAGCCCATTCTCCAATCTGCCCCTACAGCCCTCTCCACCCGGGTCCCTGGGTCCTTCCTTTCTTTTCCTTCTCTTCTCCCTCCTCCAAGGCACAGGGAGCAAACTCTGTGCTTTGTTCCCATGATCCGACTCGAACTTTTTCTGTCTACTCCCTCCCGTGGCGACCCCTCCTCCCCATGGCCGCTAGAGCTCAGAGGTTTAGTCCTTGTCCCACAGGCCCGGTGCTGCTGCAGAACATTACGAGAGATGAGGTAGCAATGGTCTGGATGGGGGTGGGCTTGAGCTGAGGCTCACTCTCTCCACCTCCTACCCCAGCTCTTCCAGGCCCAGGGGCGCTTGGGACTCAGATGCCAGCGCTGCCTGCTCCTTTCTGTCCTCACAGTCCCACCCCCTGCCCTGTCTCTCTCATCACTTCTCTTTTGTCAGCTCTGTCCTCCCAGGACAGTGTCAGTCTAGAGCTGGAGATGGGTGGCTGGGAACGACAGGGCCCTGGACCAGTGCCAGCTCTGTCTCTGTTCTCCCTGCAGGACCCTGACCCGCGCGGGCATCCGGCTGCTCCCACCAGGGATGTGCCAGCAGCTTCCCAGGCTCCGAGTCCTGTGAGTGGCTCACAAGCATTCCACAGTCCTGGCATTGTGCCACTGCCCTGATGCCCCAGAAAAGGCTTCTCCTGCTTCTCTCCACTTGGGCACAGCATCTTAGGCTTCCGGTGAGACCTGCTCAAGAGGGGCCGCGCTGTCCTCTCTTGTTCAAGACAAAAAGACAATGTCTCGAGTCAGACACGGGTTGTCTGAGGACCAGCTATGACCCTCATGAGCTGTACTTATTTGGAGTCACTCTTTAATGTCTCTGAACCTCAGTCTCCTCATCTGAAAAATGAAAATAAATTTGTGAAGGTTGAAAAAATACATGTAAAAGACCTTGGCACACCGTAGGTGCCCAATAAATGGGATTATTACTCTAATATGTACAAGAAAGTGAATTCCTTCAGGGATTGAAGGAGGTACTTGAGTGGCCGGTAAGGCAAATCATGGGAAGTTTTCTATTTCCCTGACTCCAATTTAAATCAGAAGCTCCTTCCTAGGGGCCGTAGTCCCACAGTTCCAGATGGGTATGCTGACCCTGGGGTGTCTGAAAGATGTGAGCTCCAGGCACAGCCTTGCCGCTGACTGGTAACGCATCTTAGGTGCCTCAACTGTTAAGGGAAAGGGCAGGGCCAGATGCTCAATAAGGGCCCTGCCGCCTCCGTGAGCGGGGTTACGGGTGCTATTTACTTACAGCTCGCTCTGTGATGCATGTGCGCCTCGCTGGCTGGCTCCTTCCCTGCAGCCCACTCGCTGTTTCTCTTCTTGTCCTCCTGTCTTCTTGCTCCCACTCGGCTTCCCCCAGGATGCTCCCAGGGTCCTCCAGGGTTTCCAGTGGGAAAGGCAGCCCTACTGGAAAAAAAGCCGAGTCAGCCCCACCCAGGCCCAGTGAGGAGGGGGACTTAGCAGGGGGCACCTGAAGAGAAGTCCAGTTGAGGAAACCAGTACCCTGGTGTGAGATGCGTCCACAGCCACGTCCCTGCAGGGTCCCCAGGACCTTCAGCTGCTTAACAGGAAAGCACAGCCCCGGCCAGAGCTGTTTCCCAGCCCGCTCCTGCCTTCACACGGCTGCCCCCAGCCCTGGCCTCCTCTCTCCTCCAGGGAGCTGTCCCATAATCAGATCGAGGAGCTGCCCAGCCTGCACAGGTGTCAGAAGTTGGAGGAAATGTGAGTCTGGGGGCTGGGGAGGGACGAAGGCACACAAGCCAGAGCTGGGCAGGCCTGAGGGGAGGTGGGAGCCGGGTTGAAAACACGCTGAGTTTCCTCCTCCTCGCAGTTTGCTGAACCCAAGGCTTAAGGCTGGGAGCTTGGCAGAAGCCTGGATGTGACCCCCAGGCCTCACACAGCAGCGCAGCAGTGATGCAGCCAGGGGAGGGACAGGGCCACATCCGGGCTCAAGAGGCTGGACACAGGAAGGCTTCGAGGCATTTCAGAGCATGCATTCTCGTTTTCACACTCCCCTAAACACACACATGTGTATACGTGTGTGCTCACATACAGATATGCACAGTCATACATGAGATCCAAGTTTCACAGGGAAAGAAGATCACTTTAAAACTCCTAAGTCCTGCTCCCCAGCTCCTGTTCTCTCAAGCTCACATGGCGTCCTGAACCTCCCAGGGTGCGGACCTAGGCAGGATAATGCTTTGAGGGGCCAGGAGAGGGAGGAGATGCCAGGGTCTGTCCTGTTTGTCTGGGTGACAATGAAAGAAGGGTCTTTGATATTGCTAGGTCCAGAGTCCATTATCAGCCTGGATACTGAGCTCTGCTTCTCAGCCCAGTCACCCGGGCCACCTAAGGGCTGGGCAGTGCCCTGCTGCCGTGATGGGGTCTGAAGACCCATGCGGAAGGGAACTCTGCGGGGCAGTTCAGCTGGGCTGGGAGCCAGGCCCGGTGGGAACACTGGAAGCTGACTCCCTTTTGGGCCACAGGGATGGTTTTGTGGCTTTGTCTCCTGACCCACTTACCCAAGGCAACCGGATCCCCCTGTGCTCCCTTTAATTCTGGTGACTTCTCTGGCTGGGCCCTTTCTTCCCATGCCAGGAGAAATGGGGGGCTCTCTTTTCTTCCTCCCAGTGGTGGGGGGTGTGGAGCAGAGCCAGAGTCTGAGCCTACAGGCTCATCCAGTCCCTCTTGCTGCCCTAGTGGCCTCCAACACAACCGCATCTGGGAAATTGGAGTGGACACCTTCAGCCAGCTGAGCTCCTTACAAGCCCTGTGAGTACCTGCAATGCCCAGGGTGGGCAGTGGAGGCGCTACTGTCTCCCTCTGCCAGGCTCCTACCCACAGCACACGTGTCCTATGTAAGCACACGACAGGCAAGTCATCTCCCTGCTCTGTCACCCTTTCCCTAACACACACTGCAGAGGGACCTTCCCATCCGGATGGGTTCACAAGCCGTTTCTCCAGTTGGGACCCAGGTGGCCGTGAGGCTCAGGAGCCAAGCTGCTAGGCCCTTGTTCTGAGGTCACAGCCAGGTTGGGAGTTGGGCAGCAGAAGGTCACTGCTACTGGGGGCAAGTGAGATGAGGGGGCATGTGAGTGAGAGCTCAGACTGGGAACAGTGAGTCCTCCACGTCTCACTGTCCTCTCCTGTCACACACTCTCTGTCCGCAGGGATCTAAGCTGGAACTCCATTCGGTCCATCCACCCAGAGGCCTTCTCCACTCTGCGCTCCCTGGTGAAGCTGTAAGTGCCTGCTGACTCTCCTCCAGGACACAGAGACCAACTGGGGCTGCGGGCTGGGGGGGAGGGGGGCGGGAGGGCCACCCCTGAGGAGGGACATCCGTGTCTGACCTCATATCCCAGGGAGATGGGCTGCAGCTTAATCAATCATTCTGACAGTCCGTTTGACAGACTGCGGAGCCCGATAAACAGAGCCTCCCTCCCGTAAGCTCTGGAACATGGTCTGCTAATGTTCTGCAACATCTTGGCAGACCCAGTCCTCCCCACGTCCCCTGCCCCAACCCACCCCGGCCGCCTCGTCCTCTCCATGCAGTTCAGGGTGTGTGGGCCACTCCTTCTTTGTGCAAGAGGGTGGTGGCTGATGTGGAAGCCAGGGTCTCAGAGTGCTTGAGCACTACTCTGAGGACTGCCACTCTGCAGGGCAGCAGGGACCACGGGTCCTCTAAATTACATGGGACATAAACAGGAAGCAGGCCAAGCTGCTCAGTGGCCATTATATCAGGGCCAGAGGGGCTTCTGATGGAGTTGCACTGTGGTGAGGGTTGCTCACTGCACAAATGCTCCTACCCAAAGAGGAGCTGACATCCTACCTGGCTTCTGGCCAGCCTGTGTGTCCCGACGGCACGTCCACCCAGACAGGGCTTCTTTCTGCTTAACACAAAGACTCCTCTGGGATGCCCCAGCCTGGCCTCGGAGATCGTCCAACCCGAGCCCCTCACTCTACAGTGATGTCTCTAAGGCCCAGGGGCAGGAGCTTTCTCCAAGCCAAGTGCCAGAGCCCAGAGCTCCCGGTGGCACAGGGTCCCCCCCAGGCCGTGGCCTCTGGGTCTGGACCTCAGCTTTGTAAAAGCCTCACCTCCATCTCCCCTCTCCTGTTTGCTCCGTTCCTGCCAGTAGGTAGGGCAGATATTTTTATCCTTTGAAGCATGAGGGCACTGGAACTCAGGCAGGTCTGTGACTTCCTTTGGTTACATAGTGCATTGGTGACAGTGCCAGGTTTCCTGCCTCCCCATCCAGGGCTGTTTCCACGACGCAGCGTCTGTGGTCGTGGTATTTGGTTTGGAGCCCTGGCTTCCTTTAATCCATCTCCGGTAGAAGACCACGTATGTCCTCACCTCTGGCTATGAGGTGGACCCAGCCAGGCAAAATGAATGACCCAATCCTTGCTTGTAGCCAACTCTGTCCTATCCTCAACACTGGCTTGTTGAATCATCAGAGAAGCAGAGGAGAGACAGAGTATAGAGGCAAACAGCAGCTAGGTCCCCTGGTGGGGCGGGCAGGGAGTGCTGGGATGGGATTCAGACCTGAGCAGCAGATCGGGGGTGGGGTGGGGGGTGGGTTGTTACCTTCAAATTGGGATGGCTTAGTATTAAGCTAGAGCAGTCCCTGGTACACAGTTGGCACCCAATATTTGCTGAATGAATAATGAGCGGATAAATGAGTTATAGATGGTGCCTCTAACAACTTTGACCACCCTCTTCCCCCAGTGTGTGATGCTGTCTTCTCTCTGTGCTCATCTTCTGTCCTTTGCTCCTCTCCTCTTGCTTCCATCCCAGGCACACTGGCCACACCCTCAGCACAGCCCTGCCCCCTCAGCAACCCCACTGACTGCCAATAACCCTGACCATCCACTGTCCTAGGGACCTGACAGACAACCAGCTGACCACATTGCCCTTGGCCGGGCTTGGGGGCCTGATGCATCTGAAGCTCAAAGGGAACCTGGCTCTGTCTCAGGCCTTCTCCAAGGACAGTTTCCCAAAACTGAGGTGAGAGCCTGGCTTTCCCCTACAGCTGTGGAGGTTTGCCCCGGGTCAGATGAAGGCATGGAGGGACAGGGAGAAAGCTACAGGGCTCACCTCGGGAAGAGCCTGGTGGCTTAGAGTGTGGCCAAGGCTGCACAGGAATGGCTCAGCCTGCCTCCTCCCAGCCTGGCCGTGGTCTGGTACAGGCCTCCCCTTCCTCCTGGTCTCTTAGCATCCCCCCCAGCCCAACACCACCTGTGAGGACAGAAGTAATGTGAAGGGCCCTTAGACCTCCGCGCTCTGTGCCTGGTTCCATGCAGCCGGACTATCCACGATCACACATGGGGACCATCTGGCCCCTGGGATCAGGGCAGAGCCCAGGGCACTGATGAGTGGAAAACAAGCTGCACAGCAAGTCCCTGGTGCTAATGACATCCAGGCCTCCTCCGTGCAGCAGTGGCAGCAGCGCAGGCTGTGTGGCCCAAGCCTCGTCTGCTGCAAGCTAATGAGATGCCCAAGGCCTCTGCCCTTACTCTCAGAGGGCACCAAATCCAGCTCTGATGTGCCCAGAAAGGGTGGGAGACACAGAGCAAGGGTAAAGACAGTCACTGGGAGCATCCCTGCCTCCTTAAATATAAAAGAACAGTTGATTCCCAGGAGCAGGGGCAGAGCACCCAGAGTGCTATGTGACCTCGGAGAAGTTTTTGGGTCCTTTCTGAGCCTGCTGGGCAGAAGGTTTCTCTCCCCCACCTCAGTTCTGAAGATGAATGAGGAGAAAACTGGAATATATCCAGAGACCTTCAGAGCTCAGAGTCAGGCTGTGAGACTCTCACAAAGAAAGCCCAGGAGGCTGCTGGCACAGGGAGCAGGGCGCAGTAGGGTTGAAGGGCAGGTAATTGAGTGCTCGGATCTTGGACTGGGGCTCTTTTCATTCAGACTAAAGTCTTAGACTCCAAGCACACTGAGGCTGCCTCTCTCCTCGGCCAGGATCCTGGAGGTGCCCTATGCCTACCAGTGCTGTGCCTATGGTGCCTGTGCCAGCTTCTCTAAGGCCTCTGGGCAGTGGCAGGCTGAGGACTTCTACCTGGAGGAGGAGGAGGCTCCAAAGAAGCCCCTGGGCTTCCTTGCTGGACAAGCTGAGACCCACTGTGAGTGACTGGGGACCCCAGGCCGGCAAGTGGGGGGCTGTGGACAGAAGTCAGAGAGGAAGCTTGGGAAATTTGGGAAGGGGTCTCACAGGGGCTGGAGAGAGAGCCCCTGGTGGTGATGGTGGTGGTGGTGCGGTGCTTGGGACCTGGGAGGGTCTCTGCCAGTGTTTGTACTTTGTCTCTCCAAGGCTATGCCCTAGAGGTACTTGGGGGAAGAGTAACAATGGTAATGACAGCAGCAGTAATGTCCCAACATTTGCCCAGTCTCTGAGTTCACAACTACCTTATGCTCACCCTTTGTCTCAATACTGCTGCTCTCCTGGCTCATGTGCTGCTTCTCCATGTGCTCCCTGGTCACAGGGGTCCTCCAACCTCAGAGAATTTTCAGAGAAGACAAACTCATGGGTTCATCACCTTGAGCCAAACGTAGGATTCAATTAAATCGATTGAATTAAACCTGCTTCCAGAAAAAATAAAATCCCCTCACAATGTATTTGTATTCATCAGTTTCCCTGTTGATGGACATAATACCTGATGGCCAAATTTAAAGGGGGAAAAGTTTAATTTGGCTCACGTTTTAAGGGGATTGTCTCTGGTCAGCTGGCTCCAAAGCAGGAACATCATGGAGGAGCAAAGCTGCTTAGTTCATGCCAACTGGGAAGCAGTGCGGGGAAACAGCCTGCCCGAGAGGAAGAGGCCAGAAACCAAACATAGACGCCCAAAGCTACACCTCTGTGACCCACCCAGGGATACCCAGAAGTGTGCTCACCAATCGCCTGGGTGGATCCCAAAGTCAATCACATTAACACAATCAAGATTAACCTTCACAAGGGTCTGGAATCAAAAGGAAGACTGTAGGGATTAGCCTGTCTGAGACTAACATGCACCTCCAGTCTGCCTGTGAATCTGATAGTGACATCTCTGTGGCCACTGGGATCAAGAGGGACTCACAGAGCCTTGGGTCAGATCTGTCTGTTTCTGAAAGAGTTGAGGTAAAAGGGCAACATCATTGTAGTTGGGTAGCCAGGGAGTTTTGAGGGGCCATCTACTAAGTGATCCTTAGATAAAAGGTGGAAAGGAATGCTTTCCTCTCCTTGCAGAGACAGGAGAGAAAGAGAGGGAGCCCTGCTTCTTGGATTCTTTTTTCTACCTTGAACTTCCTTTCTACAATATCTCACTGAAGAAGCTGGACAGAAAAGTCAAATTTAATATGTAAGAAAGACATTTCACGATGGTGTAGAATTTCCTTATCTTTAAAGGAAAGAGATGTATTATCTCTGTTGCTCAGTCCAAATGTTGGGCAAGCAGTCAGGGGGGCCTCTGAGAGCCTCCCTCCCAATATTCCCAAGCACCTCTCAGGGAGGGTACAGGACATAAGGAGGAGGAGGCCAGCAGCTGGCTGGGCCAGCAGACGGCTGTCCCCGGGGACGTTCCCGGATGTCTGCTGCACACTCCCTCAGGGGCCTGGAAGGAGGAGTGGAAATTTTTCTTCCTCAAGGTGAAACTTTCCACCGGGTTTAGGTCTTGGAGAGCCACAGGACATCGAGCTCATGGGCTGCCTGCTGCCTGTAACAGGAGCTAGGGCAGGCCCCGCCCTCACTTCCTGTGGGAGCAACTGAACCTTCAGAAGGAAAGCCAGGAGCTGCTGCTCCAGCCAGATTCGATTTCCTCCTCGTTTGAAGAGTGGTTACTTAACACCTTGGCTGTGACTTTCCCAGCCTCAGACAGAGTCTATGGGTTTCACCCCTTGCATTTCATTCACGCATTTTGATTTCAAAGAATTGTTGAGCTCCATTCTAGAGCACAGGGGCGGGCACGGAATGAAAGGTAGAGAGGGAAGGAAATGCCAGGACTCTGGGGGCACACCTCAGTCTCCTATCCGCCTTGGTGCTATGCCGGCCAAGGGCAGCTCCACAGTCTTCCAGCCTCCTGGGAAAACTCCCAACTCAAAGTGCTTCCCCTTTAAGTGGGGAAGAAGGATCCACACAGGAAACAGACCCCTCAGCCTAGGACAAGTGCAACCGTCACCTACCCATCCCCTTAGGATGGAGGAGGAGCCGCAGGGCACTCTCTTAATCCTGAACAGTGTAGAGGTGACTTTTAAATTAAGACAAGCAATTCTTTCTCCCCACTCAGGTCCTCAGACAACTTTCCCAGTCTGACTTGAAAAACTTTTTATTCTTTAAAAACAATTTTAAAAATTGTGCTGTGATGTTAGTTTAAATCCAAAGCCTTGCACATGATAGGCAAGTGCTCTACCACTGAACTGTCTCCAGCCCTTTAAAAATTCTTACAGGATTTATGAACCTCTGAGATGTCCATAACCCCCTGGAGTCCACAAGTCCTGGTTTAAGAGATGTAGTGGGGCTGGGGATATGGCTCTGGAGTAAAGTGTTTGCTTAGCATGCACAAGGCCTTCAATTCCATGCCCAGAACTGGAACAAACAAACCAACCTGCAATTATGAATAAGAAAATATATATGTTAGAACTGAAAGGAATGTTAATGGTTATCTAGTCCAACATCTGACGCAGGGTAGAAGTGCCCTCTCTCATGTTGGGGATTTTCTGCTTCAGGATCTCCAGTGACAAATTATGCCCCACTTATGCATCTATAAATCTCCCTAAATCCTTCCCATTCCTTAACCTCCCAAAATAACCAGTCCATCCCTGATAAGTGAATGAATGAATATCTGGGCTCCATAGTTGGACAAATCTGCATTTGAATTCTGTTCAGTCACTCAGTGGTTGTGAGACCTTATTACAGCTCAACTTTAAGAAGCCTAGGTTTCCTAGTCAGTCACCTGCCTCATGCAGCTGCTGTGAAGGCCAATGCAGCCATGAAGATGAAGAGTCATAGGAAGAGTGAACTAAGAAGGATCGCTAATCTTTGTTAAGCAGATCTATTAGTTGATGTAGCACGATAACTTGTTTCCTTCGCTGTCTCCATAAACTCTCTGAAAGCAGGACCATATCTTATTCATCCCGACTCCTTCTACACTCACCCAGTGCCCAAATATAGTTGGTATTGTGCTCAGCCACATGGGCCCGCTGTGCACCTCTTGAAGGTGGGGTGTTCCTTTGTTGGACAGCTAATTGTGGGAGCTTGTTCTTGGTAGGAAGAGCTAGAACGTCTCCATTTGAGCTGCAGTCTGTCATCTTCTACAACCTATCTATTAATGTTCTACACTCTGGGACAAAACAAGCAAGTAGAGGTCTCCTTTATATCTAAGCTTTTAACTCTTGGACAGCCATAATATCCTCACTTAGCTTTGCCTTCTGCAAGCTAAATATCCCCCAGTTAATTCTGATTATTTCTCACACAGATGACTTCTACTCCCTCACTCTCCTTGGTTAACCTGTCGACACACTGCACCTCACTAATCTCCTTAATGCAGTGTTCACAACTGGACATGGAATTGCAATGACACCCTGCCCAGAGTGGAGAACCGTGTGATTTCTAGCTCCCATTATTAGGGCAGCCACCACCCCCAACTCTAAGCAGCACTTCCAGAATAAAGCCAGAAGAAGGCAGAGGAGAATGCTGAGTAGCAGAAAGAGCAGGTCTGAGTGAAAAGTGTGCTGCAGAGAATCAACAATGCACATAATCCACATGTGGATAAGGAGATGATTGAGTATTTACACTCCAAGATAGAAACAGATATGCAGAGCTGCCAGATGACCAGTACTGGGCAGAGTTAGTCAGAGACACATCTGCTCAAACAAGTGGGAGTTACCAGAAAGGTGGGGCTTAACTGACACCATGACCCAGGGCCTGAGCGACTTTCTTGTCTCCCCTGTCAGATGACCTGGACCTGGACGAGCTCCAGCTGGAGATGGAGGACTCAAAGCCACACCCCAGTGTCCAGTGCAGTCCTGTTCCAGGTGCGATGAGAGCCTGGGGAGCGGGGGAAGGGGTCGAGGACAGGGCACCCTGCCACCCAGGTGACAGGGCAGTTCAGCTGCCACGTCTGCAGCCCAGCTTCAGGGACTCTCTCTACCTGCCGGCCACCTGCTGGGGAAGGGCCTCTTCTCATAATCCCTGGGAAAGGAGCTGGCGTTCTCTCCCTTGAGTGGCTACCTGTGAGGAGTGGTGGGGCTGAGGGTGGGGGGAGTCAGGCAACCTTTACAAATGAGCCGGTCAGAGGTTATGGCTGCCAGAGAAAACCACTGTCATGGACAAGCAAGAAAGGGTGTCTTGATACCATTGCCCAGGGAGGCATGTGGGGCTGCTTCTGAGCCCTCCTTCAGCCTAAGAGCCACATCACAGAATCCTAGAGCTCAGTGGGACTCTGAAATGTCACCTGCTCCATCCCAGGAAGAATGCACTGTCTTTATTAAAATGCTCTAGGTGGAAAAACTCCATGGTATCCCCGGATAACTCCTACACTCCTATCTAACCATTACAGCTGAAGGAAGCTCTGGAGAGTCTAGCCTAAATCCATTTTGCAGTGAAGAAAGAAAATTCCCTTCCTCCTTGGTGCAATTCAACCTAAGGTGTTTACAGTGAAGAAGTCCCTTCCCTGTGTATAAAATGCTAACAGGTTATGCCAGAAGCCAGCAACGTCCTGCTTAGGCCAGGCCAGGAACTGTTCAGCCTGCACAGAAAATGGCAAAGTTCGCGGCTTCTGTTCCGTCCCACCTCTGTTCCCCAGGTTACCATCTTTCTTTGGCTCAGGCCACTGAACCTTCTCCCCTTTTCCTCTCTGAAGCTGGCAGTGCTGGCCTGACCTTGCCCAACACCAGCTCTTAGCATTTAGGGACAACAGCACACTGCCCGGTGCCAGCCTGGACCAGAGCCTTGACCCAACCTACAGGAAGCAGGTGGTGTTTTTTTGACTTGGAAACCCACATGCTTTGTTCACACAGCCACAGAAATTTCACCTATGAAAGCCAGTAATCAACAGGGAGCGAGGTATGAGAGGAAGTTCCAAAAAACAAGGTCCAACAAATGGCCAGATGAATTACAGTACATCATATGATGGAGTATTTATTCCACAGCCATTGAAAATATTTTTGAGGACAAGGAAAGTATGCCTAACAAAATTTGACTTAAAGAGAGTAAAAGACTATTACAGTGAACTCCAACTTAGTTTAAATATCAGTAGGTATATACGTATTTTTAGATACTACACTTGATCTTAGCCAAAAGGCTGGGAAGCGCCATATATATATATTTTTTTGTACCGGAGATCGAACTTGGGTCCTTGCGCTTGCAAGGCAGGTGGTGGAACCACTGAGCTAAATCCCCGGCCCTATATATATATATTTTAGAAACATACTAAAACAATGAGTTCTCTGGAAGGTGAAGTCATAAGCAGTTTTAATTTTTCCTTATATTTAAAATTTTTCGACAATTACCATCTATTATTTCATAATCAGAAAAAATGTTTTAAAAATAGCTCTCACTCAAATAGTCTCTCAAATTCCCAAGCTACCTAGAAATACACTGAGAAACAAGAGTCCGAAGCCAAAGAAAATGAAGAAAGTAGGTCCAGAGTTGCAAGGTGATTTAAGAGCAGACTCTGGAGGAAGAGAAGGGAAACACCAGGATCTCACCCATCTAATGCAGTCAGATCGCAAAACCCAGAACTCTGTGTTTTGTCACCTATTTACCTTCCAAGCGCTGACTGAGCGAGGAATAAGGAACAGGAAATGTGCCCTGCACCTCTGTCACAGAGCAGCAGAGAGCCAGCCTGGTACTGCATCTGGTCAGCCGAGTCCTTAGTGATCAATGGGCAGAGCCTTAGCCACCATCCCAGTTCTAATGCCCTGTCCCCTCTCGCATGTCCCTCCTCTCAGTCTGTCCCTTCCGTCCTCCCACGTGGTGCTCCGTTGGAAGGATCCTTTACATAACATTATTTCAACGCCTGGGTTTGCACTGTACTGATTTAGTGTGTATGCTCATATGTGTTTCTAGTGTGTGTGTTGTGTGTGTGCACGCGCGCGCGCATTGGGAGGAGGGGTCGTGTTCACCCTGTTCGCAGGTCCTCGGAAGGAGAGTTGTGTATGTCCTCATCGTCTCTCCCCACACTGCCACCAGGAGTTGTCCGAGGGCGGAAGCCGTACTTATCTCCCTCTGACCGGGGTCCTTTGGGCACAGAGGCCGGCCTTGGCCGGATCCCAGTAGCCTCGGCCCGGGGGTAACGCCAGCTCTCTCTCCCGCAGGCCCCTTCAAGCCCTGCGAGCACCTCTTCGAGAGCTGGGGCATCCGCCTAGCCGTGTGGGCCATCGCGCTGCTCTCTGTGCTCTGCAACGGGCTGGTGCTGCTGACCGTGTTTGCCGCCGGCCCCGGGCCCCTGCCCCCGGTCAAGTTCGTGGTCGGTGCGATTGCGGGCGCCAACACCCTGACCGGCGTCTCCTGCGGCCTCCTGGCCTCGGTGGACGCCGTGACCTTCGGCCATTTCGCCGAGTACGGAGCGCGCTGGGAGACCGGGCTGGGCTGCCGCGCCACCGGCTTCCTGGCGGTGCTGGGCTCCGAGGCTGCCGTGCTGCTGCTGGCGCTGGCGGCCGTGCAGGGCAGCGTGTCCGCCGCCTGCGTGCGCGCCCGCGGCAAGGCGCCCGCCCTGGGCAGCGTCCGCGCGGGGGCGCTGCTATGCCTGGCGCTGGCTGCGCTCGCCGCCGCGCTGCCCCTCGCCTCTGTCGGGGACTACGGCGCGACCCCGCTGTGCCTGCCCTACGCCCCGCCCGACGGCCAGACCGCCACCCTGGGCTTCGCCGTGGCCCTGGTCATGCTGAACTCCTCCTGCTTCCTCGTGGTGGCCGGGGCCTACATCAGGCTCTACTGTGACCTGCCGCGGGGCGACTTCGAGGCAGTGTGGGACTGCGCCATGGTGAGGCACGTGGCCTGGCTCATCTTCACCGATGCGCTCCTCTACTGCCCCGTGGCCTTCCTCAGCTTCGCCTCCATGCTGGGCCTCTTCCCGGTCACCCCTGAGGCGCTCAAGTCGGTCCTGCTCGTGGTGTTGCCCCTGCCTGCCTGCCTGAACCCCCTGCTCTACCTGCTCTTCAACCCCCACTTCCGCGATGACCTTCGGAGGCTCTGTCCCTGGGCAGGGCCCCCGGGCGCCCTAGCCTACGCTGCTGCCAGCGAGTTGGAGAAGAGCTCCTGCGACTCCACCCAGGCTCTGGTGGCCTTCTCTGATGTGGATCTCATTCTGGAAGCCTCTGAGGCTGGGCGGCCCCCTGGGCTGGAGACCTACGGCTTTCCCTCAGTGACCCTCGTCTCCTGCCAGCAGCCAGTGGCCCCCAGGTTAGAGGGAAGCCATTTTGCGGTGCCAGAGGGGACCCACTTTGGGACCCCACAGCCCTCCCTGGATGGAGGACTGCTGCTGAGAGCAGAGGGAGCCTCAGGGGGGCGCTCCTCAGCGGGTGGGGTCTTCCGGCCCTCTGGCTCCGTCTGTGCCTCACACCTGTAAATGTCCCTCCACTCTTCTCTGCCACTTCCCTTCCCTCCTTTCCCGCTCCGTGAATGATGGCTGCTTGTGAAATAAATATGTACAACCACCCTTCAACAGTGTGACGGACCCGCAGCAGGCCGGGCCAGGTCCTGGCTCCTTTCTCCCTCGGCCTTCACCTTGAGTGCTTCTTGGCCTACTTTCCCCTTGGCCTTTCTCAGTTTCATCTTCGTTGCTGGCCTCTTCCCTGTCGTGTCCAAAGCTGTGGACGAGAGAGCTCAAGCTGCTTAAGGGAAGTGAGGGAAGTAGAAGTGAAGGGAGTAGGGACCAGGACAGGGTCAGGATCAGGGCACAGAGGACAGGGAGAACTTGGAGGTCTGGAAGGGAACCACCAAAGGCATTTGGGCCTGTCTCCTGTGACTCATAGAAGGGATACAAAAATGTTCTGTGTTCCATTAGTCTTGATACATGGCATGCAAAAACACTTGCTATAAAATAAGCTTTGGAAGAGATGGCACATTGTGTCCCTTTCTTCGAGAGCCCCAGGGCATGGCAGCGTAGTAAAGGCCCTGAAAATTCCTGCAGCAGTAAAAACTATTGAATTTTGGTTGACCCAGTTGGTTCCCCAAAACTGTTTGACAACAGGTTTTTGTCTGGTTGGTTGGTCTTCATGGAATACCCGTTGATATCTCAGGAAACCTAGCATTGTGTTCTCCCAAGAGGCTCATATCTGGATCACATAGTGCTACCCAGTGACATCACAAGATGCTACCACTCCTTGAAAGCCCATACCCTAGGAAATCTACCTGGGATGAAACGTCAGGAACAACTAGCCTTCCACCAGCCAGGACCGATTCTCCCCACTTTACCTTCCACCCTGCTTCTTCTACCAGGGAAAGGATGGGAAGGAGCCAGGCTCAAGCCCTCATGGAACAGGGAGAAAAGGGCCTCCCCCCCACCCCGTATGTGCCCCCACCCCCTACACACCTAATCACCAATGACACACCTCCAGCACCAGGGAAGGTTCCTGGAGCCTGGCAAGGTACACAAGGAAGTGTGTGGCTGTCTACCTGGGTTCCCTCTGGCTGAGTTGCCTTCTTATGGTGCTCTATCATATATGCCCCGCCACTTCCTACCACTAGACGGGTCCTCCTTTCTCATCCCAGATCCTGCCAAAGAGAAGGGATATTTTTATTCCAGGCATTGTATTTTAGGAAGTATTGATATCTGGGACTCCTGGGTGCCCCAAACAAGCCGCTGACCCTTCTGCCTCTCCCCTCATGACCGTCATACCTTATGGCTTAACAAACCTTATGGGTTTTTCCAGAGTGCCCTGCCCCATCCTACATATGCCTTCAATCTCAGCTGGGTCATTCTTGTAGACACAGAGGATGATTCTTTTTTTTTTGGTACAGGGGATTGAACTTGAGTCCTTGCGCTTGCGTAGCAGGCAGCGAAACCACTGAGCTAAATCCCCGGCCCTAGAGGACTATTCTTGCTGACATAAAAAGAGAATCCAGGGATGGATGTAGCTTAGTGGTAGAATGTTTGCCTAGCATGCACAAAGCCCTGGGTTTGATCCCCTGAATCCTGTCATGGTCCTCAGCTGAGTTCTACTGCAAAGGGCTCCATTATTAAGACAGCCCTGAGAAAGCCCTTCTCCTAATTTCGAAGTTCAAGTTTCTGCAATTTAGTTTCTCTGCTATCTCTCTGCTGCTCCCGTGCCCAGTGGAACTTCTGACATAGGTCCACAAGGCTGTCTAGACTGGGATGGAGGCACGAGGCAAGAGATCATTCATGGAACCTACACATCTCTAAATCTCATTTGACCAGTGTAGTCACCTGGACTCTTACAGGCTCTGAACCTCAGTATGCTGAACTGTTAATTCCGTAGGGTCCTGAGCATGGGGTAAACTCACTAAATGACGGCACATTTATTTATCAACTGTTTGAGGATCTTGTGTCTCCCTATTTGCCCAGGGCTGAACAAAGCTCGGGCCTTGATGGAGGGAGTTACTCTGGGTACTAAGAATTGATAATTCTTATCAAGGAAAGGAGTCCTGTGAGGTATCCCAGGGATAACAAAATTGGTGTGACTTTTGGAAGGCTTGACTTCTAGGAAGTTACTGAAGAACCCCACCCCCACCACCATGTGATCACTGCTCCCCTTGGAGGTAGAGAGCCAGGCTGGAGGTGGAATGGAGAGGTCATGTGTTAGAGATGTAGTTCTAGAAGCTGTTCCCTACAGGTGGCCTCTTCTATGAAAAAGTGGACCTTGTTTCTTGGCTTTGAGCTTTAGGGTGGCACTGCTGTCACCTTACCGTCTACTTCTAAAGAGGTGGGCATCTGCTGAAGTGGAACTTTGTGGTCACAAGAGAGGTGTGGGAGAAGGGAGTGGAGGCATTTGCCATAAACTATTTTCATTGTTCAAAAAGTCTAGTTGATATTGTACATTTACCCAAACTAAGATTGTTTAGCTGTTTGTTTTTTGTTTTTGACTGAGTTTCTAGAAAGTCAGTATATTACTCCTTTGGTTATCTACTTTGTGATCAGCAGATTATGAAAATTGTATATGTCTTTGATTAATCACAAAATCAAAAACCAAGTTGCTCAATGCCCATAAATTCATTTTGTCTGGTTGATAAAATCTACCAAAATGTTGTCCATGGGAAAGGATCCACCCAGGGGGGCCATGGTGATAGAAATGTTGCCAATACCTGACCTGTTATGTGCCGCCCTGGGCTCTGTGTGTTATGCCTTGGCCACTGGTACCAACCAGTGTCCTCTCAGACTGACTTGTGAAGGGGAATTTCTTATGGCCATAGTTTGCTAAGCAGCTCTGTACACACCAAAAAGGAAAACCCAAAGAATCCAGAGCTAAAATGGGAAGACTATGGACTAAACAGATTTAATAGCTGGGCCTTCTCCCTGCCTTCATTACCCAACTTCATAGTTTCTTTCTCTGGAAGAATAAAGGCTTAAAGAATAGAGAAGAAGAAGAAAGTGCTGACAACAGTTACTAGGCCTGAGTAGGCAAGGATGGTGGGAGATAACTAAAGCCCTGATCCCTTCTGGCACCGTCCCCTCTAACTACCTCCACTCTGGTTTAGCAAGTTCTCCCAACCATTGTCCACCACTCCTATTGTCCCTTCTGGGTTCCAGTCCCATGTCCTCTCCAGTTGGGTGAAATATAAGAATTGTCAAGATGTAAATATTTGGGCTCTTCTGTGTAATAAAGCACCACTGGAGTACTGTATGAGTCCCTCACCTCCTTTCTGCTGCCCGCCTCTGTGACCAGAGGGTCAAGGTTCTTCCTGAACCCATCTGCTGAGTTCTGGGGCATGTGGGGCACAGCTCAGAAAGCTCAGAGTTGAAGATTAGAGGCATCAGAATCAATTTCACAGACACTTCCATATTGAAGTGTTGCTTGTATGCTGGGCACTGGGACCGAGAGAATGGTCTAAAGAAAGCAGTGAGCAGGTTGGGTTTTCTGTTACTCAGACCCTGAACACCTTGTCAGACAGACCCAAGCCTGTTGCTGGGATTTCCTGATACAGTGAACTCCGAAGAGTCCTTCTCCTTGGGTAAACTTCCTCACCCACTCTGCCTGGAAATCCTCCCCCTTAACGTTGCTTCAGAGTGGGATGATTCCCCCAAGATGAACAGGGGCCCCTTCTCAAAGGAAAGGAAAGAGATTGAGAGCAACAAACATTTGCAATCATAGGGATGAGATGCTACCCCCAGAATGGTGCCTTTTTCTTCTTTCTCCTCCCCCATTCCTTCCCTTTTAAAAAAAACCTCTCTCTCCTCTTTGTTCTTTCATTTAAAACTTTTACTTTATTTTTCAAACTGATATATAAACTTCACTGACATATAAACCTAACTCCCTTCTAAGAGGACAAACAGTGCCTTTGGAAACACCTGTCCTCCACCCTTCTTGAAGACAGCATTCCAACTCTCTCCATCTTTCTGGCTCAGCTGCAGAGAAGGCTGTTTGCTTGTCTGCTCTTGTCAGACTGGGCTGGGGAAAGAGACCTAGGGTTTAACTCCAGTAAGCACGTGTTTCTTAAGAGGGTCCATGTGAAGAAATAAGGGAAGCAGAATACAAGCAAACCGAGACTAGAAAGAGGGGTGAGGCTGGGCCTTGTATCAGAAACCAAGGGCTCTTCTGGATTTGAGTCAGCGCTAAGTACCAGGCAGTGGGAGTCAGCCTGGGGCCCACCGTGAGTGGGCTTGGCTGCTCCGTAGGCCTGTTCCAATTCTATCTGCCTCCAAACCACAAGCAACTGCTCCTTCTCCACCCGCTTTTGTTTAACAACTTTAAGTAATACAATGACATGGTTCCAATAACATGAATTTTTAACAGGCTCTCTCCATCTCTGTCTCTATTTGCTCACTTTCCAAACCTTCACTGGTTATTATTGTTGTTAATTGCTTTTTAGTTTTTTATATATCCTTCCAGAGTGGTTTTGGCTCTTTGTTGTTGTTGTTTATAGCCAGGCATGATGGTACCTATCTGTGAACCCAGTACTTGGGAGGCTGAGGCAGAAAGATCACAAGTTTGAGACCAACTTGAGCTATATAGAAAGATCCTGTCTCAAACAAACAAACAAGCAAACAAACCAAGCAGCCAGAGTTTTAAAATATGTGTATATAAGCAAGAACCATGTATGTGCTTATTTTTCCTTTTTTACCGATAGTTAGCATACTATAAGTCTGCTTCTGCATTTCTACTAATTAAGTTCAAAGATCTTTTCACATCAGTAAGGAAAGTGTTCTCATTTTTATAGCTCCATGTATTCCTTTATATAGATACATCATATACATATATATATATATATATATATATATATATATATATATATATATGGAAATTTGGCTTGCTTCATATTTTGCTCTTACAAATGGTACTCCAGCAAGTCGGCATGTATGTCATTTCACATGTATATAGATATACAATAAATTCTTCAATGTGAAATTGCTGAATAAGTTCAAGTTTTAATTATATCTTTCCTTAACTTCATTTTTTTCACCAATAGTTTATTCATAGCTTCTGCATATATGTGCCTCACTGATACCTGTTCTTGCTCAAGGCCTCTCTGCATCTTTTCATCATCAACTCCTGGGTTCATTGCCTTGTTTTCTTTTGGTATTTCCTGGGGCAATATTTTGTGAGATGGGGAAACTGATTAGCCAGCTTCTCTTTCTGCACTAGGCCAAATCAAAGGCCAATGGCCAAGTAATGGGTTCACTGCTCTTAGGCCAGGTACCTGTCCTGGCCCATTAAATTGTAGGGTGGAAAGGGTTGTTAGTGTGGCACTATATTGGATGAAGTGTGACTGCTCAGGGTTTCCACCTGAGCAAGGGCTGCGGCAGGGCCCTTCCTTCAAGATGGGTAGCAGGCCTGGCAGGAAAGTTCCACAAGGGCAGGTACCAGGTTGGCCTCATTCGTTATTATAACCTCAGTCCTTCCCACAGGGCCTAACACAGAGAAAATGCTCAATTAATTTGTCAAAACATGTAAGGACTTAACAAAATTAAGTATATTCCTAAAGATTATTTCCCAATCAAAGGAAAATGACCAGGGGATGCAGACAACACAGAACAGCGGATAAGGTTTTGTCTGAATTCAACTATTTATATCCCTGAGAACTGTCAGTCTGGTGTGTTTTGGGTTTTTTGGGGGGGTACTGGGGATTGAGCTCATGATCTTGCACTTTAGAGGCAGGCTGAGGAACCACTAAGCTAAATCCCTGGCCCCCTGTGAACTGTCATGCTGACACTGTGTCCACCAGGTCTCTGTCATGCCCTTTGCGCATGCTCTTTCTTTTTCTAAGAAGGCAGTAAGGACAGATATTTAGACTGTGTAATTTAAAGACCCCACAAGTTTTCTGACCATCGTTACAACAGCTCCTCCCATGGTAATCACAGTGGTCAAAATTCCACCATTATATTTTCTTATTCCTTCAGTTTAGACATAACCATTTTGCTTTAGCTTGCCCAGGCAACACTTCATTTTTCCTAGTAACGTCAACTTGACTTTACTTCCAGCAAACACACACTCTCACACACACACACACACACACACACACACTCACACACACTGCTGTGTACTGCTTATGGATCAGATGGGGTTACTCCACTCTGGGTTCCATAGGTGGGAATATGACCTAGGCCTTGTCAGCTTTTTTTATTGCCTGGCCACAGTGACTGGTCCAAGGATAGGCTCAAATCTCAAGTCCACCTAATGAGACCCCAAATGGGAACTCTGGTGGAGCTGATAAGAAGGAAGTACTCAGTCTATAATGTCAGCACTCTGAGAGGCTAAGGCAGGAGGATCATAAGTTTGAGCCCAGCCTGGGTAATTGAGCAATTTAGTGAGAACCTGTCTCAACATTAAAAAACTAAAAAGGATTAGAGGTGTAGTTCAGTGTGAAGGCCATAGGATTTATCTACTTATCTCCAGTATCATTTAAAAGAAAAGTACTCTCACCAGAGCCACTGGTCTGGTAGGTTGTATGGCTGCTGGTGTCTGTCTTCCCACTCGGGCAGAAACGAATCCTGATGGCATTATTTGAGCATTTGCACCTAATAGTGCCTTTTAGACCTCTCAGGGTGTGAACTAGTGATGTTTGCAGAAATGAGTGTTAAGATTTCTGTCCCTTGCATGGAAAAGAAGCCTTCTTTCACAAGACCTTCTCTGTCACCCCCTACCAGGGAGGAGCAGGAGTAAATCCATTGTCCTCTTATCAACTGTTAGGGTGGAAGAGGGCGGCTACTGATTGGGAACTTTGATGGGCAAGATTGGCAGGAGTGTCAGAACAGGCTCAGGTGTAGATGGGAGGACTGGATGGGACGGCAACCAGGCCTCAGGGGCAACCTATGGCCAGAAAGTGCTGAAGGTGGGGGAGAATGGAAAGGGAAGGTAAGAAATGGAATAAACAGACCCTGGCACTTGGATTTTGCAGGTTGCTTTAGAATTGTGGAACTGCCAAGTGTCAGCCAGTTGGAAGAAGACTGAGAGCATCCAAGCCACAGCCTCATTTTATAGAGGAGGCAACCAAAAGAGGAACTTTTCTACTCTGGGGAGAACTGGGGAGACAGATGTATAAATATTAGGACAGAGCTGGGGATTTAGCTCAGTGGCACCGAGGCTGCCTTGCAAATGCAAGGTCATGAGTTCGAGCCCTGGTACCGTAAACAAAACAAAAACAAAACAAACAAAAAATTAAATAGATATTAGGACAGAATCTATACAATTGATAAATGTGATTCAGGAGTAAGATAGGCCTCGGTTTGAATCCCAGATTTGTCATTCACAGCCAGCTGTCCTTAGGTTTTATTTCTCTTGAGTCTGTTTAACCATCAGTAAAATGGTAATATTACAGCCTTAACTCGGAAGGTCACTGGAGTTTCCAAGTAAAGAGCTCAGCTTGGTGCCTAGCAATAAGGTTTGAGGAAACTGGCAAAGTATCCCCTTTTCTGAAGTAGTTTTGGGGTCCTAGTTAGAGGAAGAAAGCAATACAAAAAAGGAAACAGTCTAGTGGGATATGGTATCCAGGGAAAAGAAAGCAAGGGGAAAAAAGCACATGAAGGGAAGAAAACCTGGAGCAGGGCTGGATGGGAGGGTGGGATGAGAGACACTGGATAACCTGTCATCCCTGATATAAACTAAGAGTTGGAGAGAGGGATGGACACTGTCTGGGTGCCATGGCAGGAGGCAGGGGTGACTTGCCAGGAAGCAGGGAGAAAGTGGAATGTGTTTCTGGGCATAGCATGTCTGGGTCTGTTGGCCCAGGCTTCACTGGCAACCCTGTGCAGTCCAGAACTACAAGCTGCCCTGCAGCCATCCATCCTGGGGAGCAGGTTCTGAAACCACAGGCCTATACGACTCCCTGCCCTCTCCTCCCTCAGGGTTCCCCAACCTAAACAAGACAACCTGGGCAGGGGGTGGAGGGCACATGCTGATGGAAAAATACACACTTGGCTAGAAAAGGAGCTTTATTTGTATGTGTAGAATTCCTGCAGCAGCCAAAGGATAAATAGCTAGCCCCAGCCTCAGCTTAAGAGTCTGCCCACAAGGTGGGTGGTAAAATCTGTTCTTATTTAGATAGCTTGGGGGGGAGAGGTGAAGAGGGGGGTTGGGAGCAGTAGAAGAGGGGAACTTGGAATCTGCAATGTTTATATGATCAGTCATGGATGTCATCTCTCTTCTTTAATTAGGGGTTTGGAGTTGCAAAACTTTGCTCAGCTTGCTTGCCCTAGAAGAGGGCAGATTGGCAAGCAAGCAGTGGGCAGAGCAGCTCCCGGGGCCCACCTGTGGTTGGATCACTATCTCCATCCCCCAGGCCCCTACTGAGTACCCAACAAATGTCAGCACTATGCCAGGCCTTGTATGGGATGTTTGACACGAGTCATGTCATTCAATCCTCACGACAGTCTCATGAGTGAAGCACCATCATCTTTCCCATTTTACAAAAGTGAAAACCAAAAAGTAGGAAGAGCAGAGCACTATGGTCATACACACAATCGGTAAGCAGCACCACCAGGCCTGCAATCGGGTCTTCTTGACTCCATGCTTTTAGCCCTGTCCCACCTTTCCCTGGGCTGGGAAGGGGGACCTGGGCTTTTCTAATCCTTGGGCATGTCACTTCTATTTTTAGCCCAAGTCCTCTGTACTTGTTAAAGCGGGGAAATGGGTGGATGTTCTATTAGATTTCAACTCTGGTATTTTTTGATTAGAGAGAAAACTTTGTAACCACTATATCCCTAGTACCTGTAGTCAGACAGTAGACAAACCAACCATTTTCAGATAAGCCCAAGTGTTTTGAGGGAAATTAGTCAGGGTAATTCATCAGGTAATCAAATTAATGGGCTAGAGAGTACCTGAAGTTCCAGGGCTCCTTCAGATGGGAAAAGAACTTTTGGGGGTGGCTACCTTTGAGTGGAGACTGGCATGGAGGGGTGGGTGGGTGGGTGAAGGAGACAGAGGAAATGGCCTATGTGAAAACCCTGAAGCAGAAGTGAGGCGTGTTCAAGACTGAAAGTGGCCAGTGTGGCTGCAGTGCGGTGTACAGCAGGGGTGTGATGAGAATAAAGCAAGTAGGGGCCAGATTGTGCAGGGTTTTGGGGCGAGTAAAGTAGACTAGATTTTTGGTTTAAATGCAAAAGGCCACTTGGAGTCTCCTGAGGAGAGAAGCAAGTCTGACTTATACTGTCAAGATTATTCTTGGGCCGGGGATTTAGCTCAGTGGTTTCTCCACCTGCTGCACAAGCGCAATGACCCAAGTTCGATCCCTGGTACTAAAAAACAAAAAACAAACGAACAAAAAAACCCCAAGATTATTCTTGCTGCTATAAAGAGCCTGGACCTGTCGAGGCTCAAGGATGGTGTTAAACTAGACAGAAGACTGGCTGCAGTGCACATGAGACAATGGCAACTTGAACTAGTGTTAGAAGTGGAGGTGGGTAGAGTTGAGTAGACCTAGGTGATAGATTAGTGTCCTATAGGAGGCACTTTTTCCTACAACTGTTCCTTGGGTCTCTCATTTCACATCTGGGTTTACCCCAGACCAATCAGCACTTGCCATTTCCCTGGCCACAGTGATTGCTTTCAGGGTGGGCCAATCACAGACACTTTTGTCTGTGGAAAGTTGAGCTCTCTGGCCTGCTGGATGTGAATAAGAAATTACAAACAGGATGTGGTGGCACATGCCTATAATCCCAGCATCTGGGAGGCTGAGGCAGGAGAATCGTGAGTCCAAGGCCATCCTTGGCTACACAGTGAGTTCAAGGCCAACCTGGACAATATTTTGAGACTGTCTCTACTCCTACCCCCACAAGAAAAAAAAGTGTGGTAGCTGCTGGTAGTCACCCAGGAGGGAGAGAAACTTGAGGAGCAAACAGCCTAAGAGAAAGCTATTAGTATGGATTGCAGATGGAAAGAGACAAGATCTTGATGATATTGTTAAGCCTCTGAGTCCACCCATCCAGATGTTTGCTCTCCCCTTTCTATGTAGAAAGAAAAGGACTCTATTATTGAAGTCTGAGTTGGATTTCATTCACAACTGAAAACTTCCTAATTAATATATTAACGGTATCTAGGAACCCCAAATCTGATTTAACAAGTACAGAAGCTGGAATAAAATTAATTTCTGGACCTTTAAAAGAGAACAGTAACTGAAGTGAGTTCAAGAATTATATAAGGGCTAGGAAACATGGTTCAGTGGTACAGTGCTTGCCCAATATGTGCAAGGCCCTGGGTTCAACCTCAGCACTGAAAAAATGAAATTCTGTAAAAATTAGAAACCAATATTGTTAGTTTATGCCATCACCTATCAATGAATTACAGGAATTCACATTTCTAATCTTCTTTGCATGAGTTCAATACCACATGTTATATGGCAGACTGCTGCTGGGCAAAGGGCACAGGGTATCCTATACAGGCAAATGAACAGAAATTGACTACTCAGAGATGCATTTTACATGCATGGTATCTAGCCTAGGTATAAAATCATCACCACAGCCAGGTGTGGTGGTGCAGGCCTGTAATCCCAGCACTCGGGAGGCTGAGGCAGGAGGATCGCCATGGGTTAAGGCCAGCCTGTACTACACAGTGAGACCCTGTCTCAAAAAAAAAAAAAAAAATCATCACTGGTATACTGGGTTATGAAAAGAGACATTATAGTCTTTATTTCTCTGCCTGGACAGACTTAATACCTATATCCCTCAAAAAGTCTTTCATTTAATATGGATAATCTCTTCCTATTTCAACTGATTTCCATTCAAATTTGGAGTACCTGTCATTTATAGAATAGCACTGGGGTGTAGCTAAGTGATAGAACACTTACCTAGCAAGCATGAGGCCCTGGGTTAGAACCCCCAGCACCACACATACACAAAAAGACAAATACATTATAAAATCACAGGTAAGGGATTCAAATTTGGCACCCAAGTGTTCAGAGTAACACTTGCCATGAAGTGATGCTAGGGAGTCAAAGGGATTATAATAATCTGTATTTAAATTTGTATGATTGCTTGGTTAATTGCTTGTCTGATCTTTCCCACCAATACATTGTCAAACAGTGACACATGGCACATAGTAGGTGTATAGTATTTGCTGCAAATGAAAGTTACACCACAGTAATTTTGACCAGCTATGCAAATCACAAAAAGTGAAAGTTCCAAAAAAAATTAAATACAGAAAAGGTGCATTGGCTTCTAGTGTTTTAAGGCTTCTAAAAAGCTGGATTCCCTGAAAGCCCAGGGGTAACTGAATTATTTCTAACAGCTATTTTACACCTATGTCAAATATTCAGTGTCTCTAGTGATGGTGGTAAGTTGGTAAAATAAAGGACAACAATCTCAAATATTTTATCAAGCTGAGTATATAGCACTCTGGCCAGTTCAGTCCCAGACACACATCTAGGATAAACACATACTCATCATTAAATGATTATTTACTCTTCAGGTTTAAAAGGTTTCAAAATACATATGTACCAAGTAAATAAAACAAACTACACTCAGACTCACTGTAGAGCAGAATACATAAATATACAGAGTCCTTTATAGGATACAACAATTATAATGTCACCGAAAACAAAGAAAAACATTCAAGAAAGGTAAGCAAATTAGACGACCTTGTAAAGAATGAATTAACTAAGATGGATCAGAACAAACTCCTTGAACATCAGGGCAAAATTTCTTTTCTACGCCTCCTAGCTGCCCAGCCTTCCTTTTTTGTGTTGAGTTGTCTATTTCAGTTACTGGCCTCTGGTAAATTATCAAGCACTTCTTCCTCATCAGCCTAAAAAGAAAAGATAGGGTGAAATACAACAGGGTTTATGCAAATGCCAGTGGAAAAAAAATGAAGCTCTAAAATTTTCTTTCCAGATACTTTGTTACAAGGTTTATATATTGCACTGTACATATATTTCCTCCTAAAGCATCGTCATTTTTTGTCTGCTTCAATTACTTCTTTTTACAAGCAACACATAACTGCTACTTAACTCAATCTGAAGAATGCTATAACTCAGCAAGAAACAGTCAGACTAATTTCCATGTTCTTGCAATTTGTTTTTTGTTAAATAAGGAAACTAGCTACTTAAACTGGGGAAGTTTTCTTTCTCCCTCCTTCCATGAATGGTTCATGAGAAATATAAATTTTCCCCTTGTACCAATAATCCCTTCCTATTTCTGCAACTAGTCCCTATAAATACAGCTCCTTCTCACTGTTAAATAAGACAATTTAGGAAAAAAGAATCTGAAGCATCTTTCCTCTATCCCTCCTACCCCCAAGAATACGAAAAATATTAACCAGATGCTGCCTGCCCTCTAGTGTTGTCAACAGATGACAACTGTTAGGAAAAATTTACTGTTGGCTGAACTACTAGGCTATTTTGCTGAATTAATTATTAGATAGTTGCAATATGAGAAAGATCATACTAGCCATTCAAGCATATAGCACAAATCTGGCAAATCTAATAAGCATTATTTATACATATATACCGGAGATACACATACATTTAAGGGACTGATAATAGCAAATATCATACCTTCTGTTTTTGTCTTGCATGCTTCTCTGTCCACTGCCTGGCATTCTTGAGGAAGACTGGCTTATTATATTTAAATTCTGAGGACTGAGATGAAATCAAAGAAAAGAATTAATGGGGAAAAGATGATGTGCAGTGCTAAGCTCAGCTGATGCCCCTATCCTCACGCATGCAGCGTTAGAGGCACAGAGAAAGTGGCCTGCGTGCTGCAATGGAAAGGGGGATACTTACAATGTCAGCCATCAGGGGGTCATCGGGGTTGGGTTCTGCCATGAGCAGCTGAATAGAGGTCAACACGGCTGCGATGTTGAGGGCTGGTCTCCAGGCACCCTACACACAGAATAAGAATGCAAGACTGTAATTCGAATTGTATAGATGAAGAAAACAATGCCAAAATCCATCCTTGATCCACCACTCACTTTTGGTGGCAATTTGAGAACATCTAGACAAATCCTTCCAGCAGAATCAATGTTTGGATGATAGATTGGAGTCAGAAATCGGATCTGTGGAGGTTCAAATGGGTACCTGTGGATGTATAAAACAACAAGACATTATTACTTTAATATTGTTTCTTCATACATTTTAATAGTTTCCTGATCACTAATTTATACATCTTAGAAAACCATCAGGAAGAAAGTATTTGGGAGGCAAATGTCCTTTCTTCCCAAATTTTTATCATGAAAATTTACAAATGATCAGAAAAGTTGAAATATAGTATGAAAACACTCATATACTACTGACTGGATTCAAGCCACTTCACTTTCTAAAATTAGCATTTATCTTGTAAGAACAAGGACAGTTTCCTATATAATTGTAATACCATTACATCTTTGAAAAAACTTAAAAATAATTTCCCAGTATAATTTACTATTCTGATTTAATTATCTCAATTTTTATAGCTGGATTTCTCAAAACAGGATCCAATTAAGATTTATGCATTATATGTGGCTATTTCTTAGTGAGACACAAACTTTGGGAAGTTCTAAGTCTATTTTTAGACTGATACAAGACAAGACTATTAAGCTAATCTCTCAGGACTTTAACAAGTCTGGCCAGGATCTGACCGGGTAAATAGATGTTTCAACAGTTAGTCATTCATTTCATCCCTTGCTCTTTCTGCACAAAATTACAACTTAATGATTAGAGCCTTAGAGAATACTTGAGGGGCTTTAAGATTGAGATGGAAAACAGAATGGCGGTCGCCAGGGCATGGGAGTAGAAGAGAATGGGGAGTTATTATTTATTGGTTATGAAGTTATAGTTTGAGAAGATGAAAAAGTTCTAGAGATAGATGAAGTGATGGTTGCACAACAATGTGAAATGAACACTTTAAAGTGGCTAATATGCAGACATGGGGGATGCCTGTAATCTTAGTACTTAGGAGGCTGAGGCAGGATTGTAACTTTGAGGCCAGCCAGCATGGACTACATAGTGAGATCCTCTCTCTTAGAAAAAAACAAAAGGCTAAAATGGATAATTGTTTTATATATATATATGTTGCCACAATTTAAGGGGGGAAAGAAAAGCTGAATTGTGATGTAGCCCATTACTTTAAAGAGGAAAATTGAACTCCAGAGAGAAAATAACTTGCCAAATTAAATCATGGTAAGAAATAGGATTAATACCCAGATCCTTTAACCCCTACATTTAATCCTCCATGGACCACACTGTTCTGTCTGATTACTAGGCTTTTCCATGTAGTTCAAGAATCTAATTCACACTAACCTCTCAGGAATGATAACTTCAAGCTTGAAAACACCTTTCTCATAAGGTGTGTTGGCTCCACCTAATATTTCTTAAAAGAAAAAAAAATGAAAGGAAGAAAAAGTTAAAAGGGAATCAGATGATGTGAATTAATAAGTTCTATTTCTGGGCCGGGGATTTAGCTCAGTGGTTTCGCCACCTGCTACGCAAGTGCAAGGACCCGAGTTCGATCCCCATACCAAAAAAACAACAACAAAAACAAACAAACAAAAAAATAAATAAGTTCTATTACTCTAACAGAGAAACTAGGTCTATGACAATAATTCTCTCAGGGGTTTAATAAGTCTTTATGCAATATACCGTGATGCTGATATATCCTAAAGGTTGATGCTGTCAGAGAACATACAAAAGATGTAAAATAGGAGTTGTCCTGGGTGTGGTGGCACATGCCTATCCTTGTAGCACTTGGGAGGTTGAAGCAAGAGGATCATGAGCTCAAGGCCAGTCTGGGCTACATAGTGAGACCTTGTCTCAAAAACCAAAATAAATAAAAAATTTCTTGAAAGTCTAATAAAACAGAAGTTGCAAAGGCCAAATACAATTTATAGATTTGTTTGGACTGTTATGCTTCCACCTGACTTCATGGATATTTCAGATGGTCATTTGGTATAAACAGTACTGCAGAGCTGATGCCCAATCTTGATTATAAGTCAGCAAAAGTAAAATAAAAAGTCAAAAAAGCAGGAAATGTCAAGTAAACCTTTTATGAATGCAAACAAATTAGGGAAAAAGATGGTAGAGCACTTTGACCTTACATCTGTTCCCTACTTTAGACGAATATACAAATGTCTGAATTTCAGCACAACCTTCAATAGGATCATGACTCTCATCTAGTCATGACATGATACTCACGAGCTCGCAGGTCATCTATCCGGTCCTTTTCATGCCAGCATGTAATGCCTGGAGGTGGTTCTGTGGCTAACATCTGCAGCTCTTTTTTCAGACGTGAAATTCTCTGCATGATGCCCAAGTAAGGGGGAACCCATACAAGTTATCACTCCACGCCAAGGGCTAGTTGACATGCACTAGGGCAGAAAAGAGGGAACCATGAAATGGCCAAAGTGACTGGGTTTTCAGCACGTAGCTTCAATGTAGCGAAGGACAACTCCTCTTACTAATCTCTATTCTGACAAGGGAGTCTTGAGCTTTTTCTGTTTCCATCTTGTGAACTTTTTATCTACTCAAGAAAGTAAATTTTTGAAAAAAAGAATTATAGCTGGGTGTGGTGCACCTGTAATCCTAGCACCGGGGAGGGTAAGGTAGGAGGACCCCAAGTTCAAGGTCAGCCTGGACTACACAGGGAAACCCTATCTCAAAAAAAAGGAAAAAAAAAGATTTAAAAAATTTAGCATGCTCAGTTTGATCCCTGGACGCCCCCCCCCCCAAAGTTTAGCCTGTCCAAGCCCCTGTGCATTGATCCCTAGCACCAAAAAAATAAAACAAAACTACAGCCCACTGACAAATTATAAACTCACGAGGTCAGGACCTGGGTCTGATTTTGCTCACCAATGTATCCTCAGCAAGCCTGGCATGGTAAGGGACTTGACATAATTAACCATGTTAGGAAGTCTACATATGCGTTGCAAGAGCAAGAATGACTGAGAGATGGGCCATATTCTGAGATATGTATAAGCTAATGCTTAAATGTCTGAAGTTTTCTCATGTGTTGTGGGATTCCATATCTTTCCAATTCCGGGAACCTACTCTTTTAACTAGTCCATCTTTCTCTAGTATTTCCAATCTTTGCCTCTTTGCCATTAGCATTCAAATATGCTCAAAGTCTCTCTCATCTAAAATAAACCCCAGGGGCCAGGGATTTAGCTCAGTGGTTCCAGTGCCTGCCTTGAAAGTGCAAGGTCCCGAGTTCGATCCCCAGTACCAAAAAAAAACCCCGAAAACAAAAACAAAATAAATAAAATAAAACCCACACACAGCTACTCAATACCCTTCACTCTAGCTTTCCCTCTAGCAGGTACCCAAAGGATATCACTACTTTGATATGTATTACAAATATTGCCTTTTGTGGCTTATCTTTCCATTTTTATTCATGCCATTTGATAAGTATAATAATTTATATTATATTAAAATTTTTCCATGCTCTAAATTTAAAGATATTTTCCTACACAATGGTAATATTTTTTAATAACTTTGCTTTTCATACTTAAATCTTCAATCCAATAAGGAACTGATTTTTGTGTACAGCGAAGGAAGTGAAGAGTCCAATTTAAAATCTGTTCCAAAACGAATAACTGCCCCAGTATCAATTACTGAAAAAGTCCATCCTTTCTTTGATATTACCATAAATTAAACTTCCATATACATGTGCATCCTTTTGTTTGTTATGTAGCCCAGGATGGCCTCAAACTTAAACCCTCCTTCCCAAGAGCCATGATGCCCTTCCAATTTCATTTCTAACAATGTTCCTCTGGGCCATCTTTTTCCCCTTGCTCAATCTTGCCATGTATTATGAAACATTTTAAAACAGTGTCTCTCTATTCAAAATTTATTTTCTATTTCAATGATTTCTGCCCCTATCTTTATTATTTCTATCCTTCTACTTTCTTAGTTTTTCCTTTCCAAATTTAGGTTATATTTAAATTTCTCATATTTTGACTTCTCAACTATAAACATGTAAGACCATGTACACTGCCTTCTAATTACCACTCCGTCTCCAAATCTTTTTTTTTCCTAGTACTGGGGATCGAACTCAGGACTTTGCGCTTGTGAGGCAGGCAGCAGCACCACTGAGCTAAATCCCCGGCCCCTCAAATCCTGATATGTAGAATATCTTCCATTTTCAATATTTTCTAATTTCCCTTATGAAGGTTTTTTGGAAAGCATTTTTACACTTCTGAAAAAGTAATAGCTTTAACTTTTTTAACTTTTAAAATTTTGGTTTTCTTTTTTTTTGGTACCAGGAATCGAACTCGGGACTTTGTGCTCGCGAGACAGATGGTGGAACCACTGAGCTAATTCCCCGGCCCAAAATTTTGGTTTTCTTATGATCAAGTAAAGGGTACACACAGATTAGGATCGGACAGAAACTTACTGTGCTTTTCTGGAACTGATGAGTATATGTAAATCAGCTTTGTGATCTTTTAAAAATAAAATATACATCAAGTATATACATATAATTAAATACATATTAACTAAAGTTTTGAAAAGCAAAGAAAAAGAAGAAAGTCCTAGCTGGATTTGGTGGTGAGTACATAGTCCACACTATGTACTAAGGAGAGTGAGGTAGGTGGGAGGGTCATTTAGCCCAGGATTCCAGATCAGCCTAGACAAAATGGTAAGGGTGCATCACACACACACAAAGTTTTAAAAGCAGTCTGAAGAAAATGGACATATTACATATAGGGGAATAATGGTAAGAATAAGGATATTGAAACAGCTATATAAATATATTCCTTATGTTCAAGAAATAGAGACTGAACATGCTCAGGAGAAATATGGAAGACAGAAAAAAGGGCCCCAAACTAAATCTGGGTGTGTGGCACACATGTAATGCCATCTACTTGGAGGCTTGGGCAGAAGGATCATGAATGCCAGGCCAGCTTGGACAAAACAGAAAGACTCCGTCTCAAAACAAACAGCAATGATCCAAATTAAACTTCGAGACATGAAAAATACCATGTATGTGATTAAAAATATATAATCTTAAGACACACATATATGCAATTTAAAACAGAGAAAAGCAACTGTTAAAAATTGAAAAGAATGGACTAGGCATGTGGCTCAGTAGTGCAGCACCTACCTGGCAAGCTCAAGGTCCTGAATTCAATTCCCTGTATCAAAAAAAAAGAAAGAAAAGAAGCTGAGTGTGATGGTGCACACCTGTAGTACCAGCATTCTGGGAGTTTGAGGAAGGCAGATCATAAATTTGAGCCTAGATTGGGCAATTTAGAGACTTACCAGGACCCTGCCTCAAAATAAAAAAAGGTCTAGGGATGTAGCTCAGTGTGAAGGTGCTAGACCCTGAGTTCAATCCCCAGTACTACAAAAAATTCACATGTAAATAAAGTCCCAAAAAAGGATGGGGGTTGATAAAGAATGATTTGGACATGGGGAAGAGGATTGAAAATGATCATATGATATATACCATTAAAAAAGAATAAATAGTCAAGGAGGTCACAAAATTGATGAGAACTATAAACTTGGCAATTCAAGGTCCTCAACAAGTCACAAAACTTTTGGAGGTAATAAATACACTTGTTCACTATCTCGATTGTGGCAATGTTTTCACAAAGGCAGATCTAAGTTAAAACCTATCAAATTATGAACCCTAAATTTATGTAGCTTATTGTATGTCAATTTTATCTCAATAAATGCACTAAAAATTTATGAGTAAAAAGCTAATCAATACAGAGATGGAAATGTGCAGCAAGTGAACAGTAAGAAAATGAGGATTTTTAAGCAAAAAAAATTGACGCTTAGGATAAACTAAATATTGAAACACTGAATTTTTTGAATGCTTAGATCTGAGAATAAAACTACATATACTTTATACAGATATACAGAAAAGTGACATGAGTACTCCCATCAATACAAAAACTACTCATGAATAATTTTTTGAGAAAAACGCTTTAGTAAAAACGGTAAGTTTTAATTTAACAACTATATAAATCACTTCAAACCTTGCAATCAGAACAACACTAAGGATGTGAATGAGTTACTTACATTTCTAACTTGTATTTCATTTTGAGGAAAAGTAAATTACTATAACAAATTTTGAAATCCAAAAGATCTCAGATGGAGTTCTATTAAATGTCAAAGATTGCAGGAGTGGTGGCACACACCTGTAAACCTGCACTCTGGAAGACTGAGGTGGGACGATTGCCTAGCTGAGCAACTTACCCTTAGCGAGACCTTGTCTCAAAATTTTAAAAAGGCTGCGGACATAAGGCTCTGGGGTGCAATCTCCAGTACCAGGGAAAAAAAAAAGTCAAAAGATCCATGTTACTATACGCACAAACACATAATTAATAACTTGTCTCCTCACACCAGACAGATCTTTGCAGGAAAGTTTGTTTTTGAGTAGGTGAGAGGTACCTGGCTTAATGTTTTTGAGTAAATGGTGAGAGATCAGATGGAGGTATTATGAATAAATCACCTTTTAGGGCCGGGGATTTAGCTCAGTGGTTCCGCTCCCTGCCTCGCAGGCACAAGGTCCCGAGTTCGATCCCCGGTACCAAAACAAAAAGTCACCTTTTAAAAGCATGACTTCACATGGATCCATAACCTAGGCATGGTCATCACATTTTGGGATCTAGTTCTCAGCAATAAACCCAGATTCCATGGTACTTGGATGTACTAATTTATGCTGGCCTACTCACAAACACTTCAACTAAACAGAGGCCAATTATTTGTAAAAACCACAGTTGGACAGTTGTAATTTATAATCATTATAAGTTCTGATCCACCTATCTTTTTTTTTTTTTGGTACCGGGGATCAAACTCAGGACCTTGCGCTTTCGAGGCAGGCGGCGGAACCACTGAGTTAAATTCCCGGCCAGGACTCAAGTTTTAAAAAAGTGTTTTGTAGCCAGGCGTGGGGAGCACAAGCCTGTAAGCCCAGCACTCTGGGAGGCTGAGGCAGGAGGAATGCAAGCCCAGCTGGGGCAACTTGGCGAGACCTAGTCTCAAGACACAACAAAACAAAAACCCATTTTGTATCCAAACCTGTAGTAAGTTTACTAAATTAACAGCTAATGAGCAAGACGTGAGTTGAGGTGAAATAACCTGGGCATACCCCGCAGCGAGTGAAGGGCAGCTGTGCCTTCTCTACTCAGCGGATCTCTCCCTGCTTGGCTGGAGAGAGTTCCCCACAGACTCAGTACCAAGGCACAGCGCGAACCTCCGCCCATATTAGGCAGAAACAGGAGGTCTTCCCCCAAGACCCACTGTCACCTCCGAGGAACGTTTTCGCAGGTGGGAAACAGGAAAAAAAATCTCACCTGCTCGACTTCACCTCACAATAGCGACTGCGTATCAAGTGGCGGGAGAACGGACGGTTGGCGTGGCTCCGCCTCCTGACTCGCCAGGATTGCGATTGGTCCGCTGCAATCCCCGGGAGAGGAGCGCTCTCACCTATTGGCCAGGGCTCCGCGTCTGCTTCCGCTCACGTCGCGTCCAATTTGGAGCGCGCGCTCTGGGTGCTGCCGTAGAAGTCCCTGCTCTGGGCTTCTCGCTTCAGATTCGCTCAAGCGCTGTCCCGGACTACGGCCTGGCGCGACCTGGGTGGTCCCGGGCTGCGCGATCTGCTGCGACCTGAGTTATTGTGCCGGCCCTGTTTGTCAGAGCCCAGGGAAGAGCAGGAACAACGAAATATTCTGGGGCCGGATAGTTGTTAGCTGTCTTTTATTTAAAATAATTTTCACACGGAGGACTTAAGTACTTCAGAAAAACACATCTAAGGTCAATGGATTAAAGTTAAAGTTAAAAATTAGCACAAAAAAAGCATTCTATGTATATTAGAACTCGGAAGGACAAAGCAGATGGAATGAATTCCTTGTTACTGGATGTGTTCAGGTGGAAGTTGGGCAGTAATTATTAGGGAGAGGGCAAAGGGGATCCTTGTATTTGGTGAGAGATTAGACTAGGTGACTTTTTTTTTTCCTTTTGGCCTGGTGCTCGAGATTGAACCAGGATCAGACATATTAAATGTGCATTCTACCACTGAGCCACATCCTTAGCCTTGGAATAGATGACTTCTACACTGTCTTCCAACTCTAGAAGTGTGGTACTTTCTTAACTGGAAGTACCTGTTTACAGGGAAGCCAACCTAGACTTCTCGAGGTGAATGTTCCTTGGAGATGAAGAATAGCTCAGACCTGAGAATCCAGAGGACATGGCTGGAATTTGGCCAATGACAATCCTGTGGATGGGACAAAGTCAACCCTCACCTCTCATTTCTTTGAGCTCATTGTTTAGCTTCCTAACAGTGGTGACAAAGGTACAATGATCAGTCTCGTCCTAAACCTGTAAACCAACATGATTATAATAATGTCTACCTTCAGATCAAATTAATATTAAGCAGTAATTTGTTTCCCGTGATCACTGTATGCTATATTTTCTCTCCACAAAAGGCCCACCCACTCACTAAGACTGTCTGTAATTCTACCTTGAGATTCCTCACTTTAAATGTAGGATTGAACCAACTAAAATAGCTGATGAGTTATTATGATAATTATTATAAAATGAGTAGCCATACCAAGTCCTGTTACTAATTTCCAGTTGTTGGGATTTTACACTTATTAGCATTTACTCATTGCAGTGAAATGTTTTCTGTCATAATTTTTAATTGCTTATTTTATTACTGATTTCTGATATTTCATCTCACTAGTGTCTTATTTTTTTTCAACCCCAACAGCAATTGTCTCTCAATTACGGATGTTCTCAGAACTGAAATTGATTATTTTCCTGGGCGGTTCTCTGAAAAATAATTGTTTTAAATGTCTCTTAGAAAAAGCACAAATTATATTGCGTGGTGGAAAGGAATAAAGGCATGAAGCTAGCAACTATCTACAGTATGGAAGGGAAAACAGAGAAAGAGTAAAAGGAGAGTGGAGGAGGAGGAAAGAACAAGAGAGAAAAGAGGAAAAGGAGAAAGAGAAAAGGGCCCATGGTAAGGATGCAATTTTTATTTGTCCACCAGAGGGCGGTATGTCAACTGATGAGAATAGAGGCCAGAATGAAAGATTTTTATTGACTATGTACAGGTGTTACTTTTTTAAATGAAGTATTCTATTATAATTCATTTTTAAAGTGTGTTTATGGTGAATTATTATTTTGTAAACATTCCTCACTTTATAAAATGGCTCAGTACATTTCAAAGTACAAAAACATTTGTAAATGGGATTATTTGTCAGGATTTACTAACTTGTGTGTAAGAATATTTTCTTTAGAGTATTTACTATCCTACTTGCTTAATAAGATGATCATATAATTCGTTTTTTTTTTTTTTTTTTTGGTACCGGGGATCGAACTCCGGTCCTTGCGCTTGCACAGTCATCATATAATTCTTGAAGATAATATTATCTTTTCAATTATTCTTGAAGAGACCTGGTTGGGGAAGATATTTTAGAAAAAAAACTTACATGATTTTAATTTTTTTTAATACCATAGATTGAACCCAGAGCCTTAGCCTTTAGCTACATCCCCAGACCTTTTCCAAATTTTTTATTTTGAGACAAGTTCCCACTAAGTCATAAGTTGCTCAAAACTTGAAATTCTCCTGCCTTAGTCTCCCAGAGTGCTGGGATTACAGATGTGTGCCGTCATAAAATGCTATATAATTTTAATTTTGAAGAAAATTTCAAATTAGTGTAGATAGAATGATGTGATATAAATTTTTGGCTGACCCAGTTAAATTAGATTATAATAATGATTACTACTTTTAGTACTTGCAGCTGAAAGAAACATTTCTTTTCTTCCAGTAAGGTATGTAATTAAATTATCCAAGGAACTTAACTATTTACACTTTCCTGTAAAGTCTCCAAAGGAGGTTTTGCACTCTTACCACCCCAAGAAAAAAAAAATGGAAGAAACAAAGCAAATACAATGGGCATTGTAAGGAAGTATTTTCTGCTTCCTACAACTTTCTAGTGTTGAAATTGAATTCTTCTTGTTGAAATTTAAGCTCATACCTCTTAGGAAAGTTAGAATTGAATTTGGATTTGGTGAATTTTGGCTTATTTATACAAATTTGACCAGGTATTTATTGTTTCTGATTGCAAAAAAGAATTACTGTACAGTACTAACAAAAGAAATGTAACATGGGTCACTGAAATTTTTATCCTGGTTTAAAAAATCCTTACTAGAAGACAGGTATGTCAGTAAAATATGAAGATAAACTAGTATATATAAGTCCGTGAACATAATATTAAACTTGGGCCAGGGATTTAGCTCAGTGTTGCCACACCACCTGCCTCACAAGTGCAAGGTCTTGAGTTCGATCCTCGGTACCCAGACAAAACAAAACAAAACAAACAAAACACATAATATTAAACTGGTGCATGAGGATTGCAAAGAGAGTTAAGCTTACAGCTAAGTGTTCTTTCCTATCTGATTTCTCTTTTATACTTTAGGGAAAATTCTATCTGTGAACTCGTGGGTAATTTTAATTATCAGGAACAAGTTGAACTGGAGTAAGGAAAGGTTTTATGTTGATAAGTTAGGAAGTAATTATGAGATATAAGTTCTATGACAACTGTAAATAAATACATGAATACAGGAAAAAGTTATATAAAGTATATATTATTTTTATGCACATTGTTATATAGTATACAAGATACTGCTAGACTTAATATTTATAAAGTGTTCAAGAATACACAACTTAAAGCATATGGTAGATAGGCATAGTATTATTAAACTGATTTTCATATTTTCATTCATTTGTTGATTCATTTATTTCTTCAGTGTGTAGTTCCCATTTTATTTCAGAGGGAACTGAGGAACAGGTAAATGTCCACATGATAGAATATAATAAAGTTTACACGATAGAATATAATAAAGCTTCCTTTTTCAATACTTAAATTATTTTTGTATCATCTTGACTGAAAAAATTCAAATGTACAGAAAAGATTAAAGAACCTCTGTTCAATATAGTTCTGGAAACATTGGTCACAGGAATTAGAAAAGAGAAAGAAATAAAAGGAATAAAGATAGGAAAGGAAGAAGTTAAACTGTCATTATTTGCTGACGATATGATACTTCACAAAGAAGACCCAAAAAACTCTGCCAAAAGACTTCTAGACTTAA